GGTCTTATAAAGAAAATTACTTCATCTACCTGCTAAATACATGGTAACCTTCTACCACAAGGAGTTGTCTCCATGACAAACAATTGGAAGAAGTTAAATTAAAAAGCTTAGATTCTGCAGATCAAGTGGAGTCTGAAGAACTTACTTGTCCTTATATAAGCTGAAAACTCCATTTGCATGAATAAGGTCATAAGTCCGAGGGTAGGTAGAGAGGGCTTCACACCTGAATTTGGAAGATGAAACAAACAATAAGAGACTTGAAAAACAAGAAAAAGTAAGGAAAGGTCAAGATAGCAAATTCACAAGATACCAGAATCTCCCCTACCCTTATAAAGCAAAAGCATTAAAAAAACATCAGCACCAACTGAGAAGGGTTGGCTCATAGTGTTGCAATTTTAGCATCACGAACAGAAGAAATCATGCAAAAGACTTCCTATAAGGTCAAACCTCGAGCTATCTCCGATATATATGCAAAGAGGGGGATTTAGAGTTGAATACAAGCTCAAACAGAACTGTAATCCTGTCACGCTATTACCGTCAACTGAGAATGCTGAGACATGCAACCTGGGGGTTGGAAATAGTATCTTCCATGTCATATAAAAGGACTATATAAAGTAGTGATCATGATTGAAAGTCAAACCAGACTAATGCCCTTTGCCAGAGTCCTGAAAGAAAACTACATAGGTATATGAATATGAAAAGATGGTGGCATCTAAAGTCTTCCCCATCCTGGGAAATTCTATGTCCCTCTAGTCTCAAAATCAGTAAAAGGGCATGTCCTGACTACTGTTATGCAGTAACAAGTTCAAACATATGCTGGCTGAGTCCCTGAGGTGTTTAACTAGCAAATTATTATCTTTGTTCTGCTTTTGGCAGCATGAGCCGGCCTACCAAATGTATAGCTCTACCCATTCTGAGCTCAACAGGTACTAAATGTTATGTTTATATTTGTGGGACATGCAATGAAGATGCATCCTCCTATACATCAAATATCAAGAAGCAGCAACTACTCAACAAGTAAAATCAAAATAAACTGCAATTACAAATATCATTAACTGGAAGATACAAGACCTTTGTTTCAATGAGAAGTGAGTGGGAAACATATAAGAAGCAAAAAGGTAGTTATGATTTGACAATTTTAACCTATGCATAGTCACAGAGAGAGAAGCTACTCTGCTTGCTAAACCTATCTAAGAATTTAAACTTGGACAGTATCTGATGCAACTCCAACAAAGTAAGAAGACAAAGAGAACGAACCATCTCTCAAAATAAACTTAACAGTCAGACCAATGGATTGTACATCTTCTTGTCTCCACAACATTCTTTTCTTTACTATTCTTTTACAACTTACCATCTAGAATTAATGAAAAGAAAGTGGAACTGATGCTAGAGACCAATGATAAAAGATAAGAGAGCTTCATATAGTTACCAGTCATGGTATATGCCAATCAGGCCTCGTTCATATAATACGCCAAGAGTGTCGCTTTCAGCTTTAGTTGGCATAACATTCATAACCCACAGCTTAGGTGACTCTAGCGCTGCAGCAAAACTTCCTAGGCCAGCATTCATATCTAGTATATTGCGATACCTCCCAGTGTCAAGGAACTTGTTAACTCTCTTATAAGCTTTCACATGCTTTTTCCACAACTTGTTGTCCTCCTGGAATGAGTCAACAGAGACTCCAGGAACAGATCCACTTGCTATTCTTGGAGGAGTAGCATTAAGTCTCTCAGGATATGGCTTGAGCTCTCCACCAGCAACTTCAACAGAATTGGTTGTTTCAGGATACGGAGTTACACATGCCTCCATCTTCTTATACCTATAGCAATATAATGGTTTCATATCACGTAATCAGATGGAGACCAAAAACTTCAACATCAAAGTCATAGAGAACTCAAAATCGTCAGATTCCCATTTATAGTCGAAAAGTAACGCAATTCAGTACTTTTAATAAGCATTATTGTACTCATATTTTATAGCAAACATTTTGTGGTTTTCAACATCTCACATTCACTATAAGAAAGGAATGAAACGATTTGGTATGGAACAGCAAGTGCTTGTAGGAATATGGCATGCTTGGTCATAGAAGATGAAAGGCATAGGACACGGCAACAAAATATAAGGATAAACAATATTATAAAAGAACTTATGATATCCCGTTTGACTACTAAACATACCACATCATAAACAAACATCACTGCCACTCAAAATCTTAAGAGCAAAGACTTTACCTAAAGAGACTGACAAAAATCATAAAAAGGGTCCTCTATAATAACTTCAATTATGCTTGCCATTACAGGTTTGTGCATCCATTGAATAATACAATAAAGGATAAGAAAATCCCCATTTATTTGGCCATTTGAAACTGCAATTTTGATGAATAACATTATAAGGCGCAAGAAGTTACCAGACATTTTCTGACTTCGAGGATTCACATAGAGTTACACGAGAATCTCGTTCACTGCAGTACTCATTGTTTACTCGTTTTCTCCATATTGCTATCTCACCTTTCTCATATTTCTTTTCCCAGCAGAGAAGTTCAGCTATCTCTTCAATCATTCTTTGTTCCTCTTCCAGCTCCTCTTTAGGTCGTTGCCATGCTTGATAATTAGTCCGCCAGTTGATGGGAGGACCTGAAAGTATCCAGTACCCCCCTGGTCTGAGCACGCGATCCACTTCCATCATGTACATTCCACCTTAAAAGAGTAGCTCAGAAGTTATCAGGAAAATAATAAAAGATAATTGAAGGAAGAACGTAATTAAAAAAATCCAAAATACAAAAACAGCCAATAGAGTAAATTTCCAATCCTCACCAGCGTCCACATGCACTATCTTCTTTCAGAATAAGACTTATCAAAACCAAAAACACATTGCTTACTCCTAAAGTTCCTTCTCTAACACCAAGGGGGGGACCCAAAAAAGGAAAAAGAAAGATATGCTTTGCATGTAGATGCACGTTACGAAAGTTGATGACCAGGTACAAATGTATGTTTAAGTACAATACAAGTATAAATATGACAAGTAAAATATCTTATTTGACTTGCAAGGTTTCGAGAATGAGACTAAGAAATGTGTATTCTTTAATTAAGGGGAACGTATGCTTATTAGCATAGGCCAGTTTTCATTGGAAAGTTTAAAGTGAATTGTTTTGGCAATCCAAATTGGAAAGGGATAATCAATCTAGGATTATCCTGGGTTGGCAATTGGTACTGGAAAATGGTTGCTAAATTACCAAAAAAGCATGCATCACAAATACAAGAAAAGATGTGCCTAATAAAAGCTTGTGTTTAGCATATCTCTTTTGAGGATGACTTGAGCTAAGTTGATTACTAGTAGGAGTCTACTATAAGAATATTGTATATCCATTCCGCTCTACTCCAGTCTATTTTTTCTAATATTAAGTTATTTGTGTTTCAAGGTAAATAAGGGTTTCTTCAGAAGAAGAGGTTCTCTAAATATCATATTTACCCTACACTAACAGACAAATCTTTTCACCAAGCGAAAAAGATCCACAAATACCAGATCTAATAAAAATGTAACAACAAAAACTAAGTCTTAATACCAATTAGTTTGTAATGCCAAGGTATCATATACACGCAAAAGAAGAGCCTAGAATACTAAACGAAAAGCACATATGCCTAACAAGATAGGTGGCATCTTTCTAGTGGAGCAATCCCCTGTCTTATCAGATTTCTAATTAGACTAAAAGACCGCGGAGAACGAAAAGATCCAGAAAAAGATGCTCACCATTTGCAGCCCATTGAATCAAACATCGTGAACAATGAGCCATATCAAAGGCCCTTGATGGAAATGGCAATTTTATGGTTCCAAGTACACCAATAACTGCTGGCACACCTCTTTCCAAAGCAAATTGTACTTGAGCTTCATGTGAATCTCTTGGTGCAAATGACATGGCTATAACATTCTTCTTGAAAAGGTATGCACCCCAACTTGCAACCTAAGATGCCATATGCCATTGGTCAAACATTAAGAGATTGAATTGGGGTAGAAACATAAATCATTATGATGGAAACAGCAATAAAAGTAAAAGCTTTAACATCGCAAAAGAAGAGGAAACCAAGAAAATAATGCAAAATTGTACAAACTACCAGCTGTCATGAAAATGAATCTTAATTGATATTGTAAACGTAAAGTATTCAACCAAAGAGTACAACTATCAGATAGATAATGCAAAGAAAAAGCAGCAGCTAAATCATCTGAACCGGGAGTAAGTGCATACAGATTAGAGCAGTAAAGACGGCTAGTAAAGAGACAAGAATATATTGACAAGCTTCTACTCACCCCACAACCGGTATCCAATGCAGTTCGAACTGTACCATTGTCCATTGGGATCACAGAAGCAAGTTGGTCAATATATGCATCTGCCCCATGTGGGAATTGAGTTCCACCACCTGGAAATCTAAATAAATTCCCTTCATATTGGACCCAGTTTTGCACTGCCTTCTCAACTGTTAAATTTTTATGTGGTGCATTTGCAAAGGGTACGTAATCACGACTCTTCGGCCATTGAAAAGGAGTCACATATCCTTTTGGGGCTGGAATAAGACAATGCAGCTTCTCTTCCTCTGGAGGACAATGTCTCTCTCTGTAGTTCATATTTTCTCTAGGAAATGTCATTGCTCGCATCTGATCATGACACGGTGTGTAATCAACATATTGCTCACCACAAGGCTCAAACTGCTTGACTTCTAGCTTGGGATCATCAACCGTACCACTTTGATCACCATGATGAGTTTCATATTCTAGATTGGAGAGGATGCTGCAGTCCTCTGCCTTCCTTGTCATCTGAAGAGCTATGCTGTCTCCCTTCCCAAAACCACTTCTTTGCCATGCTCCTAGAAGATAGAAAAAACAACAAAGTCCAACTACAACAAATATTGGCAACGGACCTCGGCTTCTGTTCTCTCCTGGATTTCCTTTTATTGCCATGATTGATCTGGAATTGTATTATAGATTTCAGATGATATGGAAACAATGAGAGAAAAAAATGCTCAATAGTTTTCATGGAAAGTAATCATTAAGGATGTGGATGAAGAGTCTGTTGACAACCCCATCAACCATTTTTTTAGGTAACCGAGAAATCCCCAAGGATTAATGGTGCATGGTTCGAAACTCGATGGATAATAAGCCCGTCCCTGTACCTTCTCATATCAACAAACAAATTTTGGTTTGAGAAATACAATCAGGTAAGAAGTAATTCTCAGACCATTGTTTAACACTGACATAATCAAGGCGTGCGAGTTTTTAAATTACCAAGATTTTAACACTGACATAATCAAGGCGTGCGAGTTTTTAAATTACCAAGATTCAACTTCCACTGCATTTTAAGGTGAAAGGTGTTATCAGTCACAGTTAATGATTAGTGCTGCACTTGCCACTACATCATGAGCATACCCCTCGTCCCTCTATTTGTTATTTTTCTATGGAGATACTGCCCCTCTTCTTGTCTGCATAACAAAATGTAACTTGCGTGCAGTGCAGCCTACACCTTCTGCCCTCACTAGATATATGACATCTTGCCGAGTTCCTTACTTATTGTGCCATTTAATAGAGGTGTTTATAGAAGACCAATAATTCACATTTTCACCAAACAACATCTCATTGTAAGCAACTGTCACACGCGCTCTACCTCCCGCAACCTTGCTAACCCGTAAGCCTTAATATGAAAGCACTTGCATGTTGTCAAGACAACAAACATCCTAATATATACAAGTAAAAAAGGGAAGTAATAAACAAGTAAATCTGCTTGATTTGCAGTTTCAAATAGATGTCAATGTAACTATATAACTCATAAGAGGGGAAAAAAAAAACAAAGGGTTCCAATTTAGTATATTCAATAATACTAACACTATGTTATTCCACTTCAGACGTTTTTTTATCATCCAATTACCCAACGTCATATATAAATCAAGAAATAACAATTGTTTCTTCTATATCAGAACTAATTAAAAGATCTCAACAGCAACATTCACATGACGAGCACAAAAGAAAGAACCGAAAACAAGTTTTGTCCTAATTCCTGAAATACTATGAAACAACTGCTACTTAGGAAACAGAATTTTCTTGCAAGAATTGACCGAGTATTTAGTAATTTAATGAATAAGCACCCACAAGAGTTTATATCTCTTATCAGCACAAAAAGAAGAAGAAGAAGAAAATACACACATAGAGAGAGAAAATAAACAGAAATCAACATGAAGAATACGTACTGAGAATAGAAATCTTACGGATCTCAAAAAACAGGATTTTGCGGTTCCAATAGGATCAGAGCATAGTTCGATTATTTACGGCGTACTAATAGAGTACAAAGTTGTTGATCGGAAGTTACAGTAATAAGGATGTTGTTCGTTAGAATGAGCAAGGGGGCTGAGAGAAAAGGGAAAGAAAGGGGGGAAAAGGAGAGAATTGGCAAAGATTTTAGTTCGTGAGAGTCGTACGTATACAACAACATTCGACATTATAACTTACAAAGACAAATCCGATGTTTTCAATAAAACAGGGGAGTTGGAGTAATTTAGGCCTCGGATTATTACTAGGCTGGCTTTTTTAAGGAAAAAGAATCAAATATACCATCTCCCAACCCAGATGGGATTCGTTGTGGACTAGGACGAGCATTTATTTTCATCTGCGTGTCTGGAAAGTGAAAAAAATGTTATAAGTATAAAACAATTGGGTACGACGAATAATGTTATTCTGAAAAATATTTTGCTCAAAATTTTTCCTTTTACCATTTACTGTTCAGTATTTGGTTCCTTGATTGTTGAATATATTTTTTTAAAGAAAATTATGTTTAGCTAAAAGAAGAAAATGGATTCCGTTACCTATGAGATAAATATATTTTTTAACAATTTAATTAAGTTAATCATCGAAGACAAACTAAAATCTACTAGAGTCCTATTTTTTATAAATAAAAATTTCAATAGGGAGTAAAGTCATAGTCTTTCGTTTATCGCTGATTTAACATTAAACCGGGTTTACATCTTCAAAGATGCAACTGAAATTAATGTACAATATTATGAAAAATTTCAGTTGCGAGTATAATGTGGGAGACAAGTTTTGCAGGTGAGCATATAATATAACTTGTTGCTAAGGAATAAGCAAAAATAGATTACATCTTCATCTTTTTTCTTTTCCCTATCAATAATTCCTAGTAAACTGCATCTTCGTTTAGTTGTATTATCTGTGGAACAATTTTTGACATAAATGAAAATGCCTACAGGTAGCTAAAGGCTTGAGTAAAAGAACGTGAGTGTTCTATTTTTCATCCCAATTTGCCAATTTCAAAGAACCAAAAATGCATACACTATAAAGTAAACGAAAATATAATCCACAAAAAGGTGCAACTTCCTGGTAATACATAGGAAGCTTCCGAGTGACCTGCACTTTGATATATTTTCTCAGCTCGTGGAGAGCATCCATCCGAGAGATTTTCCGACAAGAAAAAAGTTGGTTGAGATACGGGATGATAGGGCGGGCGGCCGATAATGTCGGATGAACATAGATGACAGTAAGTTCAATTCCACGTTAAAATCCTCCCGAACAAAATTATGCAGAAGACCTTTTTTCTTGATTAATCATGACCTATAATAGTAAGTTTATAGAACTTTCTGCCCTCATCCCCAACCCCAGAAAAAATGGAAAAAACAAAACTCAGTTGACATCTTGAGTAATTATATCTGAAGACAGCATGTTCGGAGGTGTGGGGATGAAAGTTCTCGACTCACCAGCTATATACTTCTCAATAGTAATCCAAAGTACATTCAGAGTCATCTGAAGTTCGGACTGTCCTATTAACAGATGGCTCATGCCATGAGTTGCTATTCGAAGATCCATGTAGCTTGCCCTCTACTATCAAACGTGAGAGTTCATTGGTATCATGTTGTACTCTCCCAGTAATCTCCAAGCACAAGCCATTACTCGGGCCTTTCTTATTATTCTTCGCCTTGGGAGTTTTCCTGGGACCTGGATCCACAAAGACGGGCTGTACTTTCAGGTTTGGATTAGGTCTAATGCGGGTTGCTTCTTTTTCCCCTGCTGGTCTGAGTAGAATTCCATTATGCAGTTCTTCCGAAGCCTCGTCTTTATTTATAAGAACCTGCAGAATATAGATCAAGAAAGGCGTTGTAGTTACGATATTAGGATGAGCTCCAAGAAACCAACAGGTGTTCTCCAGGTTATTACAAAAGTCAAACCTGAAACAATAGACTGCTTCCCCAACCAAAATTTTCAATGAATCACATAAGCGAGAAAGAATGTTTACATTGTTGAGGTGTTGGATCAGGCATCTAAAAATGCTCCTTGAATACAAGAAAGTAATAACACTGCAACAAGTGACTATTGCATCGTACACACACAGTCAGAAAATGGGGATGACAAAAACAGTGAGGTCGAAGAAGTTTCCAACTTTTTTAGACTATCAACGAGCAGATGGTGGAAATAGCATGAGCACCAATTGCCGTAATAACGGATCAATACTCAAATGCAACTTGTGACCACATTCAATGGCATTTTCTGATATGGGCTTTGAAACTCACGTTAGAATTTGGTTAAAAGTCAAGCCAGATTTTTTATATGCAATCTCTATCAACATGTTAATAAATTATGAGCTATGCTGCAGCACATTTGCATAAAGAAAAGATAGGAACCAACAGTCAAAAGCCAAAAGAACAAACTAGTTTGTCCTGATGATTGAAAAGGCAAGATTAAAGATATGCGCAAAAGAACAAGAAGATAAGAACCACTTTCCCACCCTCCATGCTAAAGACAAAGAACGAAGAGCAAAGAAAGAAAGAAAGGAAAAAAGAACAAAAGAGAGAGGGAATAAGATGCGAGCACATATCCTCCTTAATAGCAATGAAAGAAAAACCTTGCGGCCAACTAGGTCAAATGTCATTATGACTCTATTTCGTTTAGCACGTTCAGCCTCTTCTATCTCCTCTTTCTTTTTCCTCAGAAGTTCCTTTTCCTGTTAAAAGGGGAGGAAAAGAAGGATAACGAACATAAGTCAGTGTCATCATAGAAGCCAAGTCTTGCAAAGTGAAATGTTCTCACAAACGTGCACTGTACCTCCTTCGACAACCAGCTATTTCCCTCAAACTCATAGTAGTCACTTTGGTCATCGATAACAGTCGTACGTGCTGCGGAGTTCCGATCATAGTCAACTAGCCTCTTTGCATAGGCCTCAGCTTCTGCCTCAGCATCGGAAATTGGAACTGGGCCTTCATTTAATCCAGCATATGAGCTTCCTTCCCTTAGCACAAGTGCACCACAAAAGTTGCAAGGCCCTTCACCTTCCTGTTCACAGACTATCTTTCCACAAGATAGACAATTGCTAATCAGCCTGTGTCGACGGGCTTGGCATGAGCATGGCTTCCCCTGTTGATATACAATGGACCCTTTTGCAGCCTCAGCAAGCGAAACAACTTTGTCAGATTTTTTCTTTCTAGAGTTTCTTTGACTTGCTTGGGGTTGAGGTGCAGTTGTTGTTGTTGTCGTAGAGTTTCCTTGACTTCCTCTTTGTATGTTTCGTCCATTTGATGTCCCAGCTGTGCTCTGACTTTCCTGCTTACTTGAGGCTTTACTTTCTTTCGGTGCTCGCACTTGTTTTTTAGTTCCAGCTGCCAGACTATCACCTGAAGGGGGCTTTACATATGCTTGCAATTTGGAAGCAGAAGTACCTTGACTAGTGTGGTATATATCTGAATGACCTCTCCGTCTCAAATATTCATTCGTCACACTTCTTCCAGCTTCCTGACCTATGATATTCTATAGAAGATTCAGAAAGAAAATATGTCAGTATATGCACCAACAACAGTCAAATGGTACCAATAACAAAAAACACCAAACACAATCTTAATCGCCATGGCCATCTGCAGAGAAGATCTTACCGAATTCACGTGATGATACATGAGATCAAGATTTAATAATCACTAATAAGTATCAATGTGAGAAAGGTCTAAGCAGTTCCCAAATCGTTTTCAAATACCAAATGAAAAAGTAGTCTTTTACTTTCTAACTGGAGGAACGGAATGCTACACTAGAAAGACTCACCAAAGTAGCTCCGTTTTATTAATCTACACATTCTCTAAATATCAAGAAGACTTAACGACATACATACAAGAAAAAACAAATTACTCGTATCAATAAGCATAAGGCATCAATTTGATAAATGGTTAAAATGAACTGAGGCCATTTTGACTTTTCATCCTCTCAGCAACTAAATATTTCAGAAACAATAGCGGCAGCACCTCTTGGATTTATAATACAGAATTTGACTGCTGTCTTCAAAATATAGATGCTTATAGAAATAGCCATAACATTGGAACTTGTACGGATTTTAGTTGCCACGTAAAAGCAAATATTACAAATGTGAAAATGTTTAGAAGAGAGCATAGTTGCTTTATTACTCAGGAATATTCATATAGCGCTGTTACAGCCTATAGGCAAAAAGCACCAAGGTATGCTCGAGCTTTAAGTGGAAAGCATAATAACAAACTGATCTTCGGTGAAAAAAGTACTAGATGAAGGAAAAACAAAGGTTTATAATGTAAAATGAAGTATCTTTCAACAGAAATAAAGTTATATGAGAAAACGAATTGAGAAAGAAAGCAATCTTAATCAATGTATAAAGGGCAGCCTGGTGCAATAATCTCTCACTGAGCGGATTCTGAGGAAATGCCAGACTACATCGGGTCTATGTACGCCGACTTATCTTACATATCTACAAGAGGCTACGCTGACTTATCTTACATATCTACAAGAGGCTACGCCGACTTATCTTACATATCTACAAGAGACTACATCCAATGCTCGAACAGATGACCTCATGGTCACATGGTGGCATCATTTGCCATAAGCGCCAAGGCTCCCCTTTAAGTAAAAACAATGTCAATCAAGCTCAAAAATAATTTTAATTTTTTATCAAGCTAGATTCAGTTCTACTTTCAGAAAATACTTTTAATTGAAGCTAAATTTCTACTATTCTACACCTAAATCACCAACAATTCCGCAATCATTCTTTAACAATCGTTTTGCCAGCTCTATCTATTATTTAGTACCACCTTTTCAACACTGAGCTAATGTCCGTCATAAATTTAACTTCAAAAAAAAAAAAATCAAAGTTCATCACAAAATAAAAAAAAAAAAAAAAATCCAACAGGATTCAAATCAGGTTTTCAATGTGTACACTGGGATCAAAACTTACACATAGATAAATTATCCCTTTGAATCTAACATGAGACCCCCTTGATCGTAAATGTCTATAGGTGCAGACCAAAATTAGTCATATACCCCTACCCTCAATTATGGACTTTATACTAAATACAAAACCCAAATTACCATAGCAATATGCTCATCAAAACTGGAAGCAAGAAAATCAGCATAGAAATTATAAAAACCAGATATATGGATGGAGGGAGAGATTACATCAAGATATTCTTTAGCATCGAGAGGAGGAGCAAGCTCGCAATAGGAGACGAGCCCAGATATAATCTCAGCGTCTAAATCAAGACCAGTCTCTATCTTGTTACATAGCTCCAGTAATGCTCTTTCTAGCCATTGCCCTGACGATTCCATTCTTTCGATTTCTCTTCTCTATTTCTGAGTTCCTGCCTCACCACCGCATTAAATACCTCCCCTGTCGCTAGTCGCTCCCAATTTTGTTGGTCCATCTTAATAGTATATGTTAATGCAATTAACCACTTTCAAGTTTCGGTTTATTCACTTTAGCACCCTGATTTTGGGGGAAATTTTCTAAAACAAATATTTTGTGGGAGAATTACATGTAAAAATTGTATGGGGTAGCCACTATTTAAAGTGGTATTTACTTTTTATCCAGCATTTTTAATGCTCAGCAAAAGTAGCCACTAGTTTATTAAAATTAATATGAAAGGACGTTGTTACCCTTTCCTTCACAAACGGAAATACACTGGTATCACAGGTTGGATAGATACGCCATTTTCAGATTCTCTTTCTGGGCTATTCTCTCTGCATATTCATCTTCCATTCCCAACCTCCGTTTTCTTTCTTTTTCTTTATCGTCTTCTTCCTGTATATTTTGCTTTGTCTTTGTCGTTGAAAATTGACTCCTTTTTTATGATCTCAGAAAAGCTATGCCAGAGTATGTAGTTAATGGAGAATGGGAGATTGAGTCAAAGGAAAATACAAGGCCTCCAATTTCAAAAGTTAAGGACACTTGGTCCTGAACTTAGAATTACAAGTTCAAAAGTAAAGGACACTTGGTCCTAAACTTAGACTAACAAGCTCAAAAGTTAAGGACAATAGGTCCTGAACATACAGTTACAAGTTCAAAAGTTAAGGACAATAGGTCTTGAAGTCCTGAACTTAGACTAACAAGCTCAAAAATTAAGGACAATAGGTCCTGAACTTAGGCTAAGAAGCCCAAAAGTTAAGGACAATAGGTCCTGAACACAGACTAACAAGCTCAAAAGTTAAGGACAATAGGTCCTGAACTTAGACTAACAAGCTCAAAAGTTAAGGACACTTGGTCCTGAACTTACAGTTACAAGTTCAAAAGTTAAGGAGAGTTGGTCCTGAACTTAGACTAACAAGCTCAAAAGTTAAGGACAATAGGTCCTGAACTTAGACTTACAAGTTCAAAAGTTAAGGACAAGTAGTCCTTAACTTAGAGTTACAAGCACAGAACTTAAGGACAGGTAGTCCTAAACTTCGAGTTCCAAGTTCAAAAGTTAAGGACATGTAGTCCTGAAGTCCTGAACTTAGAGTTGCAAGTTCAAAAGTTAAGGACATGTAGTCCTGAAGTCCTGAACTTAGAGTTGCAAGTTCAAAAGTTAATGACACTTGGTCCTGAACTTTATGAGCAGAAGGGTGTTTTCCTCCGGGTAGGTAAAGTTTATTAAAGCAGTGGCTAAAGACTAAAGATATTTTAAACAGTGGCTTAAAAGTAAATACATGTATTAGTAGTGGCTAACCGTGCACTTCCCCCGAATTACATCCCTTGTCACTTGGCCCAGCAACCCATCAGAAAATGGCCCGCGTTTGAAGCCCTTACCCAGTGTAGCCCAAGTTATACATAACCTGAAAATTACTTTTCACGAGTTAGCCCACCCCTTTTTTCTTCGTTCCCGCTTTTTTCTTCGTTCTTCTTCTTCTTCTTCTTCCCGTGTCAGCCTTTGCACCACAAAATTTCTCTACTATTGTTATTCTCCTTCAATTCTTTTCCGGATTCCAATGGTTAACTAAGGATTTAAAAAATAAAAGTCACTATTACAGGTGGTTCGATGATTCGATTTCAGAAATTGAGTTTTCCGATTTGTTAGTTGTTTGGAATGGGTGTTGCCCCAATTGATTGGAATCATCAAGATGAGTTCAAAACTTAAATTTCAAGTGATTTGGAGTAGATTTAGGCTATATTTGAGTTAAATTTCAGAGGATGCCCAAGGAAGAAGAAGAACACGTGAAGCTCCATTGATAGGATTCATTTGTATAATAATGTATAATATTGTATAAATAGTGTATAAACACCACTTATACACTATTATATACAAGGTTGATATATTATTCACAGGTGTTTGGTGAATTTCTCGCATTTTCTTCTTCTTCTTCTTCTTCTTCTTCTTCTTCTTCTTCTTCTTCTTCTTCTTATACACCTATATACATAGTGTATCAAGAATATTTTCACTCTGTGATTATACATCTTTATACACTTTTATACAACTATATACATAATGTACCTCTTTGTATAAAAGTGTATAACATTGTATAAAAGTGTATAAGCATCTCTGACGAAATTTTTGTACGATTTTCACTTGCAATTCTTGTATAAAACTAGTCCAAATCTCCAGCAAATAACTTCAAACTTTGTATACAACCTACTTAGACTATTTCTAATTAGTTCAAACAATACCCTCTCCAAATTTCTCACAAAATCATAATCGAAATTTAACAAGATTAGCATTAAAGGAGATGAGATTTTAGGTTTCTCGCGTCTGTTTTTGCGTTTTGTAGTTGTGATAGGTATGTATAAACCTGAAGATATACAAAATCAAAAAAAATCGGAGAAGTATTGGTTATGGAAGAAGGCACGAATGAGTGTTAACTGAGCGTCTCGATCAATGGTTACACTAAAAATGGGGAACTGATTTTTGTTTTTATTTTTGTTTGCATATGATTCTTTTTTATTAATTAAATTAAATATTTATGGGTGAAAAATGAGGAGAGAGCTACAATAGGGGTATGTAGGAATAAATGAGGTTGTTATAATTAGAAGGAATGGGAAAAGAAAAGATCTTATTGATATTTGGCTACATATTTGCAAACTTGTAATTGGGCTAAAATAGTGTAAGGTCAACTTATGGAGTGCATTATTCCGTAATTTGAACATATTTTGTGCTTTAGGAGAAGCGGATCAATTTTTTTGAATATATGGATTATCAATTGTAGAAAAGACAGCTTAGTAGGTTCTAAATAAAGTAGTTACATGTATTAAGTAGATATTTTAACACAAATAAGTACATAATTTTGGCTAACGCTATCGAGTTCTATCGAACTTGTAACTAGAACTCTAGCTTCGCTCCTAATTGTTAGAGTTAACTTTTTTACATGAGTAAAACACTTTCTTGCAATCAAACATCTTGTTGTTGGGGTTCCAACTCCACCTTGTATTCCCCACCCTATCTCCCTACGTATGAAAAGACAAACCAAAAATACTCTTTATTGTGTGCCAATATAGTTCATCTTATTAAGAACAAAAGACTTCCTTACTCCCAATAGTGGTGGCAAAGTAGGGGTGTTCATCAAAAATAGAAAATCTGAACCAAATCGACACAAAAATTGATAATATTTTGGTTTGATTTGGTTTTGATTTTGAATTTAAAACCGATCACATTTGATTTGGTTTTAGTTTTAGGCAAAAATATAATTGAAAAAATCAAACCAAACCGACTATAGAAATAATTTTTTAAAACTTTATTATTATACATACTGATGGTAGGCTAGAAACTCGTGTTTTAGTCGTAGTATTGCACTCTAATTACTGTAATTTATGTGTGTTTGAGTTTAAACGATAGTGAATTGCACTTATTATGTGTTTTATGCCTTGTAGAAAGCGATTCCGGGCTATTAAGGTAACTTGGAGCTAAATCGAACAAGTTGGAGCTTTGAAGTCTGAGTAGAAGCCCAAGCAATTAAGTTGAGATCACGTTCGGGGGTCGAGGACCAAGGCCGAATGACAAAAAATGAATAAACGAATTTACTCTAAGAAAAATGCACAGCCGCGGCGCATGGGGCGCCGCGAGGCATGGCGCGGCAGTGCAAAAGATGGCGAGATAAGATTTTCCAAACGTTTTGGAATTCTCCACAAGCGTACCGCATCGCACGGGGCGCGGCGCGGCGCGGTAGTACGAAAATGTTAGAGTGATTCCCTATTTCAGCTAAGAAAGGGTAGTTTCGTCTGGATTTATTTTGGGGACGACTTAAATGCACCAAAAATACCATTTTCCAGCACTTTCGACCTAGAGAATATTGGAGAACCAACAAATGCAAGAAGACTCAAGAATTCATCAAGATTTCAACCTGCAATCGGTCCAATACGAGAGTTCGTATCAAATCATTAGAAAATATTTTCTTCGTTCTTAAACTTATTGGAGATATCTTACTCCATTGCTATGGAGTAATTTCTATTTGGGTATTGATAGATATGGTGTTTAAATAACTTGATTCATGATTCGATTCTTGATAATTGTTAGAATTAATTGATGGGGCTTTAATATGTATTATGGAGTTATTTAGTATTTTGCTTAATCGAAAGAGGAGTTTAATATTGAATTTCTTCACATCTTATGCTCTAGTTTAAATTCGTGATTCCAATAGGTAAAAGAGCCTCTTGAATTGTTAATAGAACTAGAAAATAGGGAATATTCGTGAGAACTTACCCTTTAGATCATAAACATCATTTTATTGTTGCAATTGTTTACCATGCTTCAATTGGATTAATTACTAAAATTGAAGTAAGATATTAGCTTTAAAGTGTAATCTGATTATCAGTTGAATTCTTGAGAATCAACCGTATTATAGAGTGAATTAACTCAAGAATTGGATCCCGAGTCAGTTATCATGCACCTATCTAGTCAATTACCCTTATTTCCCTCATTGATATTTCTTCGTGCTCATCTGCGGTCTTTTGTGATCAATTGTTATTTGCTTGAATTTTCATAGTTAATCGTAGTATCATCAAATCAAATGTTAATTTTCCTGGATAGTAATCAACTGAAAATTATTTGAACACTGTTTAAATCCAGTCCATGTGGAGACGATAATTAATCTATACTATCTTTGGCTAGCGTGCATTAATTTTTGTGTTATGTTTTGCACTCGTCAAATTTTGGCACCGTCGCCGGGGATTGGCAATCAATAGTGTTTAAAATAGTTTTAGCACTAATTCAGGAACCAACTTTTACTTTAGTGTATTCATGTTTTTTCTCACTTGTGTGCAGGATACATGTTTGATTTCTCTGGTGTATGACTCGATCCTCTTCAAGGGAAATGATACCCTACGAACTAGGGTTTGAGAAACACCTGCGACAACTGAGAAAAGAAAGAGAATTAACAGAAAATTTCTTGGGTCAAACTTCGACTCAAGATACCATCGCAAATAAAGAGAATGAC